ATTTCCTGGACGCATGGATAACTGGGTTACTGTCTGTTTTCAATACAATGTTGTTATAAAATAAAATGACATATCTCGGCTGATTTACAGGCAAATACTCAAGAGCGAGAACCAGATGTACACGAATAACGCTCACTGTAAATCAGACCGAGATCTGGGGGAGCCTTGTTATAAAATAAAATTACATATCTCGGCTGATTTACAGGCAAATACTCAAGAGCGAGAACCGGATGTGAACGGGACAAAGCCCCGTCACAAAATGACCATTAACTTTCTTTACAAATGTTTCCGACACACGTGTTCCGGTCGAAAAATAAAATAATAATTAAAGTGCTCTATTTTTCGTCCAATAAAAATGCTTCCCTCCTAATTATACTCGCTTCGTTTCTCGAGCCTGTTAAGCCATAAAAGACGCTATAAAAGGGGTCACGGGGAAGTTCAGCGGCCAGTCAACAGGTGGCCACAAAGGAGACCGGTCACGTTTAGCAGCTGTCAGCAGGAGAGCGTCAACCACCGTCAACATGTGTGAACTACTATGAGAGATCGACCTAGATCCAAAAAAGTAGATGAACTTTACCACACCAAGTAGCTGTCCTAAATACGTTCCTGTTGAAATAAACCATGTAAATCTATTTGACCTTTTTGCAACCATACGCTTGTCTATAACAATGTGGTATTCTCCAACAAATTCGCCAACTTCTCTGTAAAATTGGATTTTTTTTTTTTTTTTAAAAAAATTGATCAGTAGAAGAAATAAAACCATGTCGACCTTTTGTCTCTGGTTGGGATACAACAGAAACCATAAGAAATATAATTTTTGAGAGGTGTGCGTCCATGTTTTTACAGTTTTACAAAGGAAAATCCCTGAAGATATTATTTCAGTAAAAATCATGCCGATAATACCAAAAATAATTCAATAACCCTTTTAAAAATTATTTTCACAATTCATGCTGGCATAATTTAATAAAATTGTTATTTTCTTTCAGATTGGATGAAAAAAAAAATGGAATTCAACGCGTTACTGTTCGTCCCAAGACATGTTTGAAGATTTTTAAAAATGGAAAGTTTAATCTCATTTTCGAGTGTAACATTTTTTAAATGAATTTTATTTTATCTTTTCTTTTAACAACAATTAGATTATTTTTGGTATGGATGTACAAAAAGGACATAATTCCGATATTTCGTTTTGACTGACAACTATTCAATATCGGAAGACAGTATTATGACATTAAATCTATTTTCATATTTCAGTCTTTTTTTGTGTCTTGAAAACAGTTTTTCAATCCATCGGTACGGTTGTTTTTTTGTTTGTCTCTGCTTCCCTACATTTCTTTACAGATTCTTGCATACAAGAAGAACCAAAAAAATCTACTTCAGTAAGTTAAACATAAGTTGTTCTTTTAGGTTTCCATTATTTTAAAAGCAAATCTCTCTCGCTCTCTTTTTTTTTCCAGCATAATTTGTTCCCCTCGCCACGAAGTAAATTTTCATAATTACAATGAAATTATTTCATTCATAAAAAAGAATACTTTACTGTATTTTTTTTTTTTTTTTTTTTTCTAAAATCTACTCTTAGAATAAATATCTTGTTTCCGCTTTAATTGAACACAAATTAAATTTGCGATACAGTTTTGTTTTGGTAGCAATGTCTTCAGACTTATTAATTATACTAAGTTTAATAATATTATACAGAAAACTATTGGTTGAAGAAAATATATTTTTAAACAATTAAACATAAATAACAAATTTTGGATTATTGCACTGCTGGTCTTCTGCATTTCTTTAGGTTTTATTTTTACTTTTTCCCGCGGTTTTTCTGACATGGGTAGGATTACAGAGTTTATATTTTCTTCTTTGACATCAGAGGCTACCGTTTTTTAAATAAAACGTTATTTTCATTCTGTTTTAAGTAAAAGGCAAGTATTACTTTTGTAAAATTCGGTTAATTAATTGTTACATTTAATAGACTTCGAAACACTTTTCTAGAATTAATATTGGATTTTAATCAGAATTTTAAATTTGTGGTTTACATTTTCCGCGTACAATGGCTGTTCAATGAGTGAAGAAAAAACGTGCTAATCTTTTAAACATGATTAAAAATTTTATTTATATACGGTAATAAAATTTTCTTTGAATTCGGATTAACTGTATGCCATTATCTTTTAGAACCGAAATCTAAGTTCAAAGAAGGCATTTCAATTATTTAAAATGCGTTTTTCGGAGTTTTTAGAAAGTCCGTGGAGGTACCTAGTTGGGAAAGAATCAGAAGACAAAAACTCTTTGAGTGTTACTGTTAGTGGTTTATTCCTCATTTTTACGGCCACAGTCTTCCTGAACCCCTGACAAATGTAAATATATTTTTAAACATAAAATTTTGGATTTATTTGAAAGGTAATAGCTTAAAGCTAACCCGAATTAAAAGAAAAATTAATTTCTTTATATAAATAAACTTTTTAGGCATTTTTAAAAACATTAGCACGTTCACTCATCGAACTGCCATTGTAGACGAACGATGCAAACAACAAATTTAAAACTCTGTTAAAAATTCAATATTTGTCCTACAGAGTCAGTAAATTTAAAAAAAAGGATTAAATTCAATTAATTAACTGGATTTTGTAAACGTAATGCTTACCTTTTTTTTATTTAAAACATCAATAAAATAACGTCTTTAAGTTTTTTATTTATGTATGGAAGCCTGAGATCAGGGTACAACAATAATTATAAATCTCTTTCAACACGTCTTAAAATGCGCTCGAAAAATATATTTTTTTAAAATTAAAAATACGGAACACCAGTGTACTGTAGTGTAATAATCATTATATCGCTATATATGATTAAAAAATAAATTATATTTAACCTTATATACTTTTTTAAGAATATAATTTTTTCTATACGATTTTATGAAATGTTTTTATTTTCAATATATCTGAAATTATTACTTAAAAAAAATGATATTTTTGCTTTTATTTTTTATTTTCTTACCTGTTTGATGTCGCAATATATTTTTAATTGCATGTAGTGAGGTCTATTTTAATTATTCCGAATTAAAAAGTTACTGAATTGTCACAATTACACTTCTAATAGGAAAAAATGCATTCAATCAAAAGCAGTAATTAATTATTTTTTTCCTTTTTTGGACAATAGTTGCTAAAATGAAAAAGTAAAATAAAATTCATTTAAAAAAGGTTCACACTCAAAAATGGCATAAAACTTTTTTAAATTTTTCGATTTTTCAAACAAATTATTCTTTATTTAATAAAAAAAATCCTATAAACAACGGAATGAATTTAAAAATCACACTGAAAAATTTTTTAAAAATCATTAAGTATAAATATTTTTTCTGTACAATCTGAAATAAAATAACGTGTTTTATTAATAAAATATAAGAAGAAACATCAACTGCCAGGAAAATTTACTTTTTGAGTTTTTTTATTGAATTGTCTTTTGGTAAATTTCAGGGCGAACTTTCCGCATCTTCACATTTTATATTGCATAATGTTTTTTGTTTTTTTCTGAAATAACATCTTCAAGGCTTTTTCTTTATATAACTCTAAAAATAAACTATGAATAACCCCCCACCCCTAAATTAAAAACTACATGAGATATTGACAAGGTCGGAGGTGAAACAGGCACCCCCCCCCTCACGTAAAAAAATTATCAGTAGAGGTGAATCTCTTGTTTCATGTTTGTTTAGGATTGACTTTCTATTTCCTTCTAAAAAGTCTTCTCACTCTTTTTCACTCTCAGTAGCCCCTTTTTGTATCTTAGTGGCATTATCACCTTGCTTGGAGTTAAATTGATAAAACAAACATTGTGATGAAAACGAAGATGAAAATACCAACCCTCAAAATATGGAATGAAACTAATTCATTTTAGAATTTCGAAAAACGCAATAAAAATACATTGTTAATAAATGTGTTTCATTAATTTGTGAATATTTTATTTTTAATATAAAATATTACAATAACAACAAACAATTAATAAACAGAAATTAAAAAAAAAAAACATCAACCGGGTTTTTTTCATCGATTTGAAGGGGAAAAAACCGTGAAACTTTTTTTATAAAAATTTTTTTGTGTCATTTAAAAAACTTAAAAATGTTTATTTCTGGAATTTCTGGATGTTAAAAGAAATAAAAAAAACACTTTGAAATATCCCACCCACCCTCTTAAAAAAAGTTGAATGAGGTTTTTTATACATTTTTTAATTTTTATACGTTTTCTTTTCTTTTTTTGTTTGTTTGTCATGAAGCAAATTTTTTTTTTAAATCCTCACCAATTCAGCCGGACTTCACAATAAAAAACAGATCCATTTTTAAAACTTTCAGAAACATTTAAAAAAAAAGAAAAAAAAAAAGCTGTGTGAAACCACCAGCATCCCGAGGGCAAATGCACGACTTTTCAAAACACCTTTAAAAACCTGTTTAGAGACGTACACATTTCCAACTATTTGTCTCGCTAAAATGCAAAGATGGTCGAAACACCGATGCGGCCACATTAGAAACCTTGAGTGTTTAAAAAAGAATGTGAAACATGTTTGTTTAAGTGGGGAGGAAGCCCCTCGCCAGAGCGTTGTGACATGTTGGGGGACAAGATTTTTAAGTCAGAGGATCCGCGATTAAAAATGTGCACATTAAAATGAATTCACATCGTTTTCAATGGGAATGCGATGCTTTTTCTGGGAAGGGAGCAAGAAGGTAAAGTAGTATTTTGATTTGCTGCATCGTTTCTTTAACTCGTTGTTGCAGGAAAAACAAACAAAAAACCTGAAGAAAACTAGTTTTTACCTGACCAGATCTTAAAAAAGTTTAAGAATAGTTTTAATTTTTACTGGGCGTGTTCAAAAGTACACGGAGAATAAATACAGTTCGTTGAAAACCGGATTTTCACAGTAAAGTTTTACACGCCTAAAATAAAACCTAAAAATATATATTTTTTAAAATCAGGCCAATGAAATAAATAAAATTTTAAAAATAAATAAAAATAATAATTCTTTTTTTTTTAAGGATTTGACGACGGAGTAGTTTGAATCTCGGCCCCTCGACGTCTTTGCCACTCAGCCTGTTCTTGCTCATCATAGTACCACAAGGTGATAGCAAAGCGACCCCTATATGATGGTTTTACTTCATGGGGGTTGCGACTGTCTGACCAGAAAAATAACAAACGGTCAAATATCGGTTCGACGTTCGCTACTTCAGGACTTCCCTGTGGGTAAATTCGGAGCAGACCCCCATCCCTGCAGGCATCCCAATTAATGTTCAGGTAATAAATACAGGTGAGGACTCGTCCATTCTGGCACGGGTTGTCGATATGTCGTAAGTAGTAAGTTCCGTTCCCAGGATAACACGCCACCATAGCTCGCGTTCGTTGTTTGATGGTGTAACCGCCAAAGTTTTCTCCACACATCATTACCGTTGCATCAATACGTTCCATAAGGTATTTAATATTGTTACATCCATTCTCGTTACCAGTTAACCATGTGATCACATCTCCGCGTACCACTCTCTGATTTGGCGATGAAGAAGAAGACGAAGAAGAAGGAGGGGGAGTTTTGAGGGACGACTCCAACTGACCATTAACAAAACCCCCTTGTTCATATAATTTAAGAACATCACTCAAAATCTTTTTGCCTTTCTCCTCTCCCATAAAATGGTCGAAGACGCACAGGCCCTTTGTAGACATCTGTTTTCGGAGATCCCCAACCATCCTATGAAGTTCGGTATCGCCGAAAAACGATCGACCCTGGAAAAACTCGACCGTTTTAGGCAAGCTCGTCTCCTTGGACTCTAAAATAGGTGGCCCTGATTTTGAGGATCTGGTTGCAGTTGGGGCTTCTGTCGGCTTGTTTGAACTGACGACAGAGGTAAATTCTGGTTCGTTTGCAACAACAGCTGACTGGCTTCTTGTAGTTCGAGAAGTTCTTGCTTGGTTTGAAATATCAGAATCATCGTCCATATTAGACCGTAAAGAGCCGGACAAGTGATAAAAAGGAGATCTTTGTAAAGCCGCTTTCTTAGGCACTGGATGATAATAATAATCCGTTAAATCTGGATTTGTGGTTTGTCCTTGAGTGTTCAATGTTTTTAACTGGTCAACTGTTTTTAACTCGATGTGTTCGGGTTGTGCAACAGCGGCTGTAAAAATTCCAGCAGTAGTTTGAACAGGATACAAGCTTCTTGTGAAATGTTGAGGTCTGCTTCGTCTTCGAAGATTACTGCTTTTCAGTTTTGTGGGGGGATTAAACGAAGCCCCCGTGTCTTGTTCTGCGATTTGTCCGCTGGTGTTGCTGGCATGAAGTTCAGGATTTTTGTGTTGTTGACTACCACTGCTCTCAATATTCCTCCAGTTTCTCTTTCTATCTGTGTTTGTAGATGCTAGCGACCCGACTGCTGCAGCTGACGACCAGTTTTCCCCGATTGAATTAACAGCAGGTAGTTGACATTCAATAACATCAAGCGGAATACTCTCAATTTCGGGTGGATGTTGTTGGGGTACTGCCGAATATTCATGCATTGTCTGCGATACGTGCTGGCCGACACGTTTGCTAAAAATAAAATTCTGGTGTTTCCTTTAAATTGCTGTCTCGGTGGGTCGAGTCCGGCTCTTTTGTGAGTGATAAAGAACAGGATGTGGCATTTATCAACTCGCCAAAAACGAATATATTAAAATAAAAAGTTTAGAAGACATTTATCTCGCTTGATTAAATAAGTTTAAAGTAAATATTTCAACTTCTTGATTCGGTCTGGTAAAAAAAAAAAAAAAAGTAAAAAAAATTATATCTGTTTTTTAAGAAAATATTTGCTTATAATCCAGGTGTGAAAACAGTAAGAGTAAGACTAAATTTTTTTTTTTTAAGAATGAATTGCTGGAAATTCGTAGTGTCTAGATTTTTAACTTTTTTCATTTGAAAATAAATTATACATTTTTAAAAAAAAAAATTTTGTATTTCTAAATGTTTTTGTTGCTTTGTTTTTCGATGTATTTTTTAAAACTCGTAAAATAACTTTTTTTAGCTCTTTAAATTTTATGGGAAAACTCAACGTGCGTGTTGTGTTTTTTTTTTTTTTTAATCTCCAAAATAAACTGTAAAATAGACAGGTGTATTTTTTTTTTCTTCCGATTTTCAGTTGAACTGGAAAGTCTTTTTGTCTTCATAAAAAAAAAAAGTAAGGATTCTTCCGTAAAAAAAATAAAACGTATTGTAGTAAAACTAAACTTGTTTCAGTTTCGGTGCATATGTACTTTTTCGGGGTTGCCTTTTAACAACTGCAAAAAGAAGAGAAAAAAATGTTTTCCAGCAAAATAATCAGTTAAAACAATTTCTTTTAATCCAGTAACACTTTTTTTTGTACGTGTAAGCTTTTCTTTCTTTCTTTCTGTTTTCGTTTTCCTTTTTAATTGCCCTTCATCTAACCCTCTTATTCCTCTGTCTTTCTCCTTCTCTGCTTCTTTCTTTCTTTCCTCCCTTCTCTCTCTATAACCCTATCCTCCCTCCCCCTTCGGAGCTGCTGCTTGTTAGACAGTGTTGACATTACTTTCCGCACGTAGACATTTTTTGAAGAATCAAATGGAAGGTTAGAGGTGTAGCTAAAAATCGGCACGGAATATAGAAACGGGCTTCCATTTTTTCCCCCCCTTCCTTACCCACTTGATTAACCAACACCCTGTTTCTGCTAAATAGTCATTTTTCTGCATATTATTCCATAATTATTATTTTTAAAAAATATTTTCACAGCCCTAAAAAAAGAGTTTTATACCAGATAGATTTGAAAAAGAAGTGATGCTTGCTCTCCCCCACAATCTAGTGTTCCTGGGGTTGATTGAACATTAAGAAAGGACACTCCCCCGCCCCCCCAAAAAAAACGAAATATTATTTCTTCCCTTGTGTTAGGACATTACAATAAATTTTCTGACCTCGAAAAAAAATTTTTTTTTTTTTAAGTTTGTCCTTAGGGGTTAGGGAACAATTTTAAAGAAAATATAACATTTCTCCTGAGTTCCCGTCAGCTTTTCCTGTTTTTGACGACTAAAATTTCGTTTGTTATCGCAATAAAACTTATATGGGATTTTTTTTTTAAAGCAAACGATATTAAAATTATATTAGAAAAAATAATTAAAATTGTGTAAAAATTAATATCGAAACTGTTTTAATAATAAAGTTAATATTAAAATTGCATGGAAAGAAAACTAAACGCTGGAATGTGCAAAATTTAAAAACTAAAACTATTTTTAGTAGAAAAAGATATTACCGTAATAAATTAGATAAAAAACTAAGATTAAAATGTTTATTACCAAAACATTCCCTTGAGGGGGAAACGGTCAACATGCAGCATCATCATTATTATTATTAATAATTAATTAATTAATTCCTTTGGTTTCTGGTGTATACTCATTTCTTTCCGGGTCCCGACCAGAAACCTAAGATCAGAAATGTCATCATGACATTTTCCACTGAGCACGTTTTAAGAAAAAAATCGCATATATTTTACATAGATAAAGCCGTTCGTAATGTGGGGGCTGTGATTTTGAATACAATTTTTTTTGTATTTCTATTGGCTACCAGGGATTCCTTCAATGAGTCTATTAGAATCTTTTCCAATCAATCTGAGGGCTCCAACTACAACTGGAATTGTTAATCTCCTCATATGCATCATTTTTGAGATTTCGATTTCATATTATTATTATTTCGATTTCAAGGTCCTTGTATATTATTATTATTATTATAAGAAGCAGCAGATGAATAAAACTTGATGTCTAAAGATTTGGAGGGAAAATAAAAAAATAAAAAAATGCACAAAAAAAAAAAAATGTTCCAAATTGATTTTATAAAAACATCACCATTCTGTGACAGATTTGCAAAATGAGGTACGGCTTTGATTAAAAAAAAACAAAAAAAAAACAGCCAAATTTAAATCGATAGTGTTCCTCGAAACCAATAGATAAATAAAAAAATATATAAACTTAAAATAATATTCATATGGTTAAATTGATAGTGTTACAAATTCAAAATGAAAAGAGTTTTCATTTTGAATTTGTAGGTTGATTTTGGACGTATTTATGATTCCAATGGAATAAAAATATGGAATATTTTGTGTTTAAGCCTTTTTATATATATAGACATTGATATATCCTTTCTTGGAAAATTTTTTTCTGAAAATATACATGTATGGGAATTTTTAGATATATTTTTTTTTTTTATATCTATATATATATATATATATTATATATCCTTTGAATTTTTTTTTTTTTTTTTTTAGCTGGTTTTGATTCCTTGTTTACTATATAAGAGGTAAAAACTATAACTTCAAAGTCAGAAGGGAATAAACAACATGGGCGATAAAAGTTGTGACTTGGGATGATAAAAAAAAAAACTGCTCCTGTAATTACTATTAGTACAAACGTTGAATAAATAAAAAGAAGAACCACTATAAAAATCTACGAGAATTCTCGTTACAAAGAACGTCTCTTCTAATCCTGCGAAAGTTTATCTCATATTTGAGAATGCCTGTTCCGAAACGCTGAATATTTTATCTAAAGGACACAGAAAGCCAGTTTTCCCAGAAGGAGGTCAACTGTTTCTTTTCCCCTTCGACTTTCAATCTTTGAACCTTCGACATTTTAAATTGAGTAAATTTCTTTTGTTACTAAGAAATTGATTTTTATGAGCTGTTGCGATAAAAAAAAAGTTGTTAAAATTATATTGTTGTTACGGAAAACATTTGTTTTAAAATGAACTTGTAAGAGAAAACATTTTTATTTAGAAAACTCTTAACCTGCCTTGATAATTTAGGGTGCATAAGGTGCGTCTTGTACAAGGTCAATATTGTATTTTGTACAAATTGTATATTGTAAAAATATTGTCATTTTAATAAATGTTCGTTTCTTTACACGGCATTTCAAAGAATTTTCTCTCAACAATCCAAGAAAGCTAAGTATTTCAAGATATCTCTCTTTGTCTATTTTTGAACGTATGCAAAGCATATATCCTTTTGGTGAGCAACAAACTCTCTTACCTTTGTTGTAAATATTTTGAATATTATTTTGCGTCAGATCATTTAATCTGTTGTATGAACATTTCCTCTTCATAATAATCCGTTAAAACCACGGACTTTAAAAATTTCAAGGGCGTAAATTCGTAAATAAATTCCTTATTTTGTTTTGTTAAAATTTACCCGTGTGTTTCCTCGTCATTACCATACTTCATTAATCTTCTTGACGTGGGTAAACCAGATGATGTGAGGTAATCTCCACAAACTGATTAATCCACCGTAGATTGCTTGTTTCTGTTTGATCCTGATCGGAGAATTATTGTCTGCATCACAAAGTGTTCTAAAGCTTAAAGAAAAATGGTAAACCATAGGAGAGAGGTCGAGTGAATTGGCAGCCTGTAATAAATTCTCAAAATTCAATTTTAATATCAGGTCACATCAAACCGGACAATGTTTGGGTGTTAAATTCACCATCTTAAATTGGTCGATATGTACAGGGTGGTCCAAAAGTCATGTCACCCATGTGTTTCCTCGTCATTACCATCCTTCATTAATCTTTTTGGCGTCGGTAAATCAATTGTTTGTTTCAAAGGAAAATGTAATAAAGAAACCTAAACTAGAGAGTGGTCCGAAAGTCTTGTCACCCTCTACCAAAAGGAGCAAATAGAAGTAATAATACAGTAATACAAAGCACATGTACGAGATTCAGTTTATTCACTTTCATTGACGCTGTCACACATCGAGAAGGGGGTCTGTATGAACACACCATCATTTTCGTGGCACAAAGTGATGCGATGTCATGTCCTCTGTGATATTTTACGAAGCTGTTCTTTGTTGATTGTTGCAAAGGCTCTCCGAATGGCTACCTTATAGGTATTCTCGTATCGTTCCTATGAAACTCTCTCCTTGATAATAATAATACGACCACACAGCGTTGAAATAGAAAATTATATTATGTACGAATGAAAAGACTTTCGGACCACCTTCTATACTGTATAATCATTTTTCTTATATTCACCTTTTTATTAATCGTTATGTATAATTTACATTTCTCTTTCATTATATTTTTTTATAGATATTCTTCTGTCGTTTCACCATAACTGATAAGTGGATTTTTGAGTGCGTCCGCGTCGCTACCGAATGTGGCACAAGGCCGAGGTTTAAAGTGAGGAAATTACTCACGCGCCTTTAACAAGTACCGGGTAATGACTCCAGCCCCTGTAGAAGTTAACAAGGTTGTGGTTTTTGTGTGTATTTTTCAGGCGACGGTGCATGTTCAAAAGATAAACAAATCTCAAAGAAGCATACAAAAAACTTATGTTCCTGCAACGGACGTTTATTTCTTTTAGGTTGACTGTATTGAAATAACTGTATTTTCTTTTTGGTTCTGAAATAATTTATGGGAAATAAGGATAGAAACGGGTAGACATGGTCGAGCTCAAGTCAGCCTCCTGCTGGGTTGGGAGGACCAAACCTCGACTTCATGAATAGGGCTGTTGAATACACGTCCGACTATCTCGTTTG